CCTTGTCTGCAGAGTAAAGATTCTTCGAAAGAAGATATGAGATACACAACTAAGTGCACTTGACATACCATGCTTAGTCTGACAGGACGTGCATGGAATGCATAATCTCAAAGAACAGACTGCATGCGTGCTTATATGAATACGTATGGAAAAGTTCAAAAAAAAATTTGCCATATCACCCTGAAACTATTATTGTTATTATAAGGGAGAAAAGAGAAAATGATTATGATGGGATTGGAGAAATAATGACATGAGAAAATGATTATGATGGGATTGGAGAAATAATGACATGTCCCAAGTAAAATTCACTTATGCAATCCAAAGTTGACAGAAAATATGCTAACTTATATTCTACTTTAAACACCATAAGTTTCATGTAAAATGTCGATGCCCCAAATTATAGCATTGAGATTGTGAGCCTGAAATATTTAGCAGTGCTTAAAAAATATACAAATCTCTTCCCAGGATGTTAGATACTGATTGCTAAGCTCTATTTAGGTCACTACATTGACTTATTACTCCATGACTGAGGTGTGTTAATGTTTAGTTATTAACAGCAGACAACATGTAACCGCCACTTGTTAATTGTCTGCTGTATTATGGGAGTAATCTTCTGCCCCTTTATTTGTCAAAGAAAGTATCATTTTCATGGCTAGGAAAGACGGATAAGGTACCAGATAATGCAAAGTTGACCAAAGATATATGAAAAATAATTTATAATTGATTAACATACAGCTGCCTTTGTTCCATCCCAGGAGAAGTATGTTGTGAAGAAACATGGTTCATTCCCTTCCGTGACTTTATAAAGCGGCACATCAGCAGGTAGCCCTTCCAGAGCAGCTGCAAGCTCTATGTATTTCTGGAAATCGATAAATTAAGCACATTATCGAAAAAAAATTAGAAGCTATAGGAGCAGACAATCATGTACTCATACCTGGCCAATATTCAGAGCCTCTTGCTTTTCTTTGGAACCCACAGAATGACCAACCCAAACAAAAACCTCTGAATGAGTGTCAAGAAGTAATATATCTTCAGTCAACAGATCCTCTTGAGAGAAGTTGAAAATCTCAGATACCTACAAAAGCAGGGGATGTGAAATGAGAATCAACTCAAAAAAAAAAAATAGCACAAGTTATGATGAAATATGAGGCAAGGTAGCAAACCTCTAGTTTCCCTGGCGATTCCCCAATGAGCCGAATAAAAAACAATGCCATCAAATTCAGCAGAAATTCAAATTTATTGAACATTAAGTAAACAAAAGAACAGGATAACCAGGATAGCCCCATCAAAGACAAGGCAACTACAGAGGGAAGAGCATTGACCTTTGTTGAAGGAGTAGCTGTACAGGTGAGGATCTCGAACAATATCTTGCACAACCTTTTTGGTGGTAAAACTCTGCTTACCACCAAGAGCAAACCAAAATGCAGAGCTCTCAGTTCCTTCCTTTGCATGCTTCAGTGTAACCCCAGGCTGAGGGTTTAAGAATAAAACAACATGTTAGGAAAATAAATTGTCAAGGCATGAAGAGTACAAAAGGATATCTGAAGTTAATATGTAATTCGATTATTCAAATTTCAGGGTTCGGATACCAAGATAACCAAGCTTATAATAATAAGTGGGAGAAACTTGTACACAACAATGAATATACTTTTTGTCAATTTTATCATTCGTAAGTAACTGCAGCATATCCACATCTAGTGAATATGTAGTGAATCCATTCCCGAATTCTTCTCTCAAGTATACCCAGCAGAATCAGGCCTCAAATAAGCTCTGCTATCAAAGCATGTTCTCAAAAGCATTACCTTATAGAATCCAACTCTACACTTCAAAGTCTAAACAATGAAACTCTCAATTATAAAGAATGCCTTGTGCTCGCTTCCTCACCTTTTCCTACATCACATATCAGGCTCATGAGATGTCTTCCGCCATCTTCCTGATTGTCCTTGGTCACCAAGCAATACCAAGCAATCCAAATTTTTTCATCATAATGGAACAATAATTGAATTTGGAGACTTTTATGGGCTAGGACATTATCTATACAATAACTTTGCTTTAGACTACTGAAGTTTGAAACTTTGTTACCCATGAAAGTTTCCCACGTTTTGTAATTATATTCATATTATCATCACAATTTCAGTGAACCCATGAAACATTATGAATGCAAATTGTGGTAATCCACTCATCATGATAGCTCTTTTTGCCTAGTCACCATCAATCATCCAGCCAACAAAAGTTTTAATGAATGAAATAGGAAGTTTCATCCGAGTTGCACACGAGGGGTTAATTTTACAAATTCCTAACACCTGCCTCGCATAGTTGATACTCCCGTAAAATGTCAAGCTTTGATACATTTTCCACAATCTGGAACATGCTTGAAGTATTCCATCAAGTTCATCCATCTAGAACCATACCCAAAAAAACCCTAACATCTGTACTGTATTGCCAACTTCGCCCTCTCCTTCGACCCTCCAAACATCAGTAACTTACTTTTTTGAAGAACCAAAGCAGTGCCTACTTTCCATCCTCCACCAGATGACGTTTTCTATACTAGCACTTAAAGATTGGCTATCTTTTTAAGGGGTTGTTCGGTTCAGTGGAATTAGAGATACCGATGTAAATATTGGATGTATATTTCAATTGTTTGGTTCGCAACATTTTAATTAGGAGAAGTGAATGACCTTACATTCTGTAGAGAAAACCTTCAGCAAATACTGCAGCCAATTTGGTGCAAGCAAAAGCTAAAACTCCAAGATAAGATATTAACAAATAAATACAATTTCACCTCGTCAAGGACTTCCCTATTCCAAATAGGAAAACCATCCCTATTCCAAATAGGAAAACCATCTATCACAGTGTTCTCTTAAATGATACAAACATGCAGCTTTTACAACAATTATTTTTCAACCAAATACTACATTTGCATTCCCACAATAAAACGGCAGATAACCAAATAATGAAATTGAAATTGATTCCATGCAACATCTAATGCGTGCAACATTTGCTACAAGCTATACTGATTGCTTGCCATGAGAATGAGATTCCACCAAAAGCAAGAATGAAAGCAGCACACAAACAGTAGACTAATGATGCGACTGAAGCAAGATACAACTAACTAATATCTCTAGAGACTTGGCACGATTTTTTTTAAGATTTTAGTACTTCTTATTCAAAATTAACTAATCCAGCTCATTGTTTGCTATTGCAATCTATGTTACCTGGGTACTTGTAATTTGAAGCCATACCCGTACCCAACACGTATCCATACCCGTATTTGTACCCAAACTCCTTGGACACTCCTTGCATATATGCATACATTTATTTGGACATCTACTCAATTGTACAATACATGTTTTACATTAAAATGCTCGTCATATATTTTTTGGACATATATCCTACACTTCACACCCGCTTCTTCAAACTTCTTTGCCATAGGTCATGTTCTGGATTATGATTTTGAAGGGTTGTTAGGGTATTAACTATAGAAACTAGTGTTTTTTCCAATTTATAATCCACATAATAAAAGAAAGGGAAAAATACTTCCAGCCCCCAAAAACCAAGAAAACGTGCTTCTCCCCCCCCATTTCTTTTGAGCTATTTAAGCGGATTGTAAGATGTATTCAGTTTTGTTATTGTCATCCGTTAATTGAAATGAGGGTGATTTTTCAAATTAGTGTTTACTTTTTAATTAATTAAGCATAACAATTTAATTTGAAACTCCTAACACGAATAATCCACAAATCTACTCTAAAATTTAGTATGAGAATCTAACCCTCAGTTTATGAATCCAAAGCAAAAGTTTAAGAATCTAAACCAAAAGCTCAAGAATTCTACTCACAAAAATCAAATCCAATCCAAGAATCTTGGGCCCTAACTATAAAATCTAGGGGAAAATGCTTCCAGCCCCCAAAACCCAAGAAAACGTGCTCCCCTCCAATTCCCCCTCCCCCAAGACTTTGTCAACGGGTGCTTTGCCCCCAAAAATAAAGATTTTGTTCTCTGAGCCCCCAAAACACAAAACCCAAAAGATTAAAATATGTGAAGACCATAATACCCTTCTCTCTCTCTTTTTATCATGATGTACTGAGATGATAATTGAAATGATTAATGGGGATTATTTTATTATTTTTATTTTTTATTATTTCGTTGTTGATGAGGGGAACTAACTGTTTATATTAGGAGATTGTTAACGTTACGAGTTAATTGTTAAAGTTACGGGTCAATTGTTAAGGTTATGGATCCCTTCTCTCTCTCTTTATCATGATGTTGCTGTGATGATGTTGAAATGATTGAAGGGATTGTTATTTCATTATTTTTGTTTTTCATTATTTTCGTTGTTAATGAGGAAACTAATTGTTTTTTGTTTGTATTGGGAAATTGTTAAGATTACAGATTAATTGCTAATGTTACAGGTCAGTCGTTAAATGTATGGATCAGTTATTAAGGTTACGAGTTAGTTGTTAAGGTTATAGATCGGTTGTTAAGGTTACGGGTCGGTTGTGAAGGTTACACGTTGGGATATATATGTATATATATTTTGAGTGGAATGAATACTTTGGATCACTTGGCCTAGTGATAAAGTTTGGGAGTTTGGATAAGAGGTTAGGGGTTCAAACCCCTACAGCCATAATATTTTTAGAATATTCGTTGTTAAGGATAATTGTTGGTTGTGAATGTTACGGGTTTGTTGTTAAGGATATGTGTTGGTTATGAATGTTACGCTTTGGTTGTGAAGTTAACCTACACAACAAACCCGTAACATTAACAACAAACTCGTAACCTTCACAACCAACTCGTAACCATTACAACCAACCATTATCATTAACAACGAATATTCTAAAAACCCATAACGGGTTAGTTGTTAAGGATACGGGTTTGTTGTTAAGGTTACGGGTTTGTTGTATAGGTTAACTTCACAATCAAAGTGTAACATTCACAACTAACGCATATCCTTAATAACAAACCTGTAACCTTAACAACAAACCCGTAACCTTCACAACAAACCCGTAACCTTCACAACAAACTCGTAACCTTCACAATCAACCATTATCCTTAACAACGAATATTCTAAAAATATTGTGGTTGTAGGGGTTTGAACCCATAACCTCTTGTCCAAACTCCCAACCTTTACCACTAGGTCAAGTGACCCAAAGTTTTCATTCCACTCAAAATATATATACATATATATCCTAACGTGTACATTCACAACCAATCCGTAACCTTAACAACTGACTCATAACATTAACAACTGACTCATAACTTTAACAACTAATTCATACCCTTAACAACTGACATGTAACATTAGCAATTAACTCATAACATTAACAATTAACCCGTAACCTTAACAATCTCTCAATACAAACAAAAACAATTAGTTTCCTCATCAACAATGAAAATAATAAAAAAGAAAAATAATAAAATAACAATCCCCTTCAATAATTTCAACATCATCATAGTAACATCATAGAGAGAGAAGGGATCCATAACCTTAACAATTGACCCGTAACCTTAACAATTAACTCGTAACATTAAAAATTAACCCGTAACTTTAACAATCTCCCAATACAAACAGTTAGTTCCCCTCATCAACAATGAAAATAATAAAAAATAAAAATAATAAAATAATCTTCATCAATCATTTCAACTATCATCTCAGTACATCATGATAAAGAGAGAGAAGGGTATTATGGTCTTCATATATTTTAATCTCTTGGGTTTTGTGTTTTAGGAGCTCAGAGAACAAAATCTTTATTTTTAGGAGCAAAACATATCTTGACAAAGTCTTGGAGGAGGAAGCATGTTTTCTTGGCTTTTGGGGACTGGAATCATTTTCCCCTAAAAGAAATATAAAAATATTATAGTAAAATTAATTCTCATCTCTGTTCTCATATAAATAATTAATTCCAATATATAATATGTGTATATAAATATTTCTTTACGTATGTCCCCGCTCCTACCTGTACAGGTAACCATACCCATGCAACATAAATTGCAATTAATATTTCGTGGATCATATGTAGCATTTTTTGAAATAACGATAACGCCATAACGTAACACTCTACCTCCTGTTAAGGGTTAAAGAAAAAACGAAGAAAAACATAACGCATAACATAAGTTATTTCGTTTATTAATTATTTACATATTTTATAAATGCCAACTAGTCATTATGACTTTAATAATTAAAATTGTCAAAATTTTCAAACATATCATATCAATAGGAACAAAATATTTTTTACTGTTTAATTTTAAAAATATATATAGGTTATACCCCTTAAATCATGAGTATCTGCAAAAATACCCTTAAAATCGCAGTATTTGCAAAACTATCCCTCAAATCATCAATTTTGGAAAAAAAATTACCCTCAAAGCAATTAATTATCAACTTTGACAAGATAATTTATAATCACAATGTAAAAATTATCAATAAAATACTCAAAATTTTAGCACTAAGTTGTTGATTTGTTGATTTTAGGGGTATTTTTTTCACAAAGTTGAGGATGTGAGGGGTAGTTTTTGCAAGTGCACGTGATTTAAGGGTACATATGAAAATAACCCAAAAAATAAAATGTAGTCATAATAATTTTAAGAATTAGGAACAAAATATAATAATACAAAATATTTTAATAAAAAATCTTTAATTTAATACAATCTATATAGATTTAAAAGGGAGTATCACAATCGAATACTCAAATATACAATAATAAATTTATAGCTCGTTCATAATGACATTCGTTTTAACAGATATATTCATAATTTCAAAATTACATAATGAGGTCACCACAAGAAGACATGAAGGCTTCATTAGTAATTACTTAACTACTTCAAGTTTTAAGAAAGGATATACTCTCAAGTCCCTTGAACTAATATTAAAATAACGTATGTTATATTGAAATAACGCATGCTATATTGTAATAATGTAGAGTTATAATGTGTTTGAGTTATGTCATAATGTCATGTAACGTTTAAGGCTTGTTAGATTACATAATGCAACATAACGGGTTATGTAACAGGTTTTTCTAAACAATGGGAAAGAGCTATCTAGTATTGCCACCAAGTTATGCATCACATGGGAGTTTCGAAGTTACTCTCGACCACAACTGCAACTAATTCCTGACAATCTTACTTTGTCTCCTTTTTTTAAAAATATAAGTAAGAATATTAGAAGCTATCCATAACATGTGACAAAGATAAAACGGCTTTTCCATGAAGAGTTAAATGCAGAAGTAAAATTGCAAAACTCGTATGTAAAATGCTGGTGTTAACAGAAGCAGTAAAAAGACGGATGTTCTTGAACATATACTTTTAGAAGTTCAGCAAGTTTTGCAGCCCACTGCTGCTGCTCAAAAGTGCTGGAACTTCCATGCCAGTTGAACATTGTACTCCCAGATTGCAACAGGAAACAGTCTGCAGAGCATAAGGATGTTGCCACCTGAAAATAAATACACATTCCACAACAATCAAATCAGCTTGGTCCATAGTGGAAGTTTCTAAAACCAAAACAGTTCAAAACATTTTACAACAGATAAATACTAAACAGAACATAAAGCTTCAAGATAACTGACAATTTTTTGTTCAAAATAGAGTAATTTTAGGAATATTTTTACCAAGAAATTTTAGACATTTGATAAAAATCATAAGATATTCCAACGGGAACTTAATCCTGTGTGACCGAACACATTGTAGCACATGTATGCTGCATCCTGTCTATCATTCATATCTAGATATAGCTTGGGCACAGTAAAGGTACGACTGTATTTTTAGAAATGTGATAGCATATATATAGGAACAAAGCTAGAATAAACTCAAGTGGACTGAGGGCTCTGTTCACCAACTTTTTTATACATTGGATTTGCTTTGAGATTTGTGCCAGTGGGTGTGATATACATCAAGGCTATCTTTGAGATGCATGCCATGATGTGTATCACACACCAACACTAATCTCAAAGAAAATTCACAGATAGAAAATTGTGGAGGGAGCAGGCAGTCTACTTAAA